GTCTTGGACAGAGCACACGCTGTTCCTGTGTCTTGCTCCAAGGGCGCTTGTGTGAGCTTCTAGAAGTGCTTCAAATGTAGTAAGAGTCCAGCTGATCTGGTTCCTGGCTGTCGACGGTCGCGGCGACATGATCGAGGCGTGGCCATGTGCCATGCAGCGCTGTCTAGCACTCTTCCATCACATCCCATCTCGACTTACATTGAGATCTAGTGCGCTGCAAGAGTCGTTGGTGACTGCTTGGGCAACAGCGAGAGGAAGAAGAGGGTTGTTTCGAGCAGTCCAACACACGTGGGTGATTAAATTAGAGTCTTAAACAACCAAGCGCGAGAAGGCCCGAGCCAGAAAGCCAAGAGGTCGAACCCATGAGCAAGCTGCCACAAACCACGACACCGAAATATGTCGAGCCGTTTGGGCAGCGCGCTTAGAGGCGGCGACCACGGCGACCACCCTTTCGGCGGGTCGAGTCCGTCGGGATCGGCGTGGCATCCTCAATGCGGCCAATCTTCATGCCGTTACGGGCAAGGGCGCGGAGGGCCGACTGGGCACCAGGGCCGGGGGTCTTGGTGCGGTTGCCACCCGTGGCACGGATCTTGACGTGGAGGGCCGTGATGCCGACCTCCTTGCACTTGGCGGCGACGTCCTGGGCAGCCAACATGGCGGCGTACGGCGAAGCTTCATCGCGATCGGCCTTGACCTTCATGCCGCCCGTGACACGGACGATGGTCTCGCGGCCCGAGAGGTCCGTGACGTGCACGAACGTATCGTTGAACGAGGCGAAGATGTGGGCGACGCCGAACACTTCCTGGCCCTCGCGGGCGGTAGGGCCAAGCTTGACCACTTCCTCGACGCTCTCAACCTTGACGGCCTTCTTGGACATTATGCGAATTGACAACGGGGATGGAGGCCGATTGCAGAATGCTCAAGCCGTGGCCAGCGCCGCCCCACTCGACTTGACTGGCGCAGAGCCGATGCCATTCTCGCCCAATGGCCTTGCGCGCTTTTTTAATTGGTGCTCGTGATCTTGGCATTTGTATGTAGGTTTGGACCACGCCTTTTAACAATCGAAGTTCGTAGCTGATAGGGCGCCGCAAATAGTGTGCGATCCAGGTAGTGGGCATGGCACGGCGATCGCCACGACAGAGCGCACGACTGCAAGACTTTTGCTACTAGTAGCAAGGTCATTCAAGTACACACGCCGCCATGCTACGGATGGTAGAAGACTAGTTTTGTGGACGATGTGTGCGCAAGGTCATCGTAATCATGGTCAAGCCTTGGTGCTTGGGACCGACGGATTGCCGATGGCAGCAGCATCGCAGAGCTTGCAAGATGTACCAGCAATTCATCGAGGCGTCGTTCTTCGAGTTGTTGTGCTGCGCTAGCAATGTACTGTAGTGCATGTGGCTCCATCATATCCTGCTTGCGACGGAATACGAGATGGAAGCGCGATTTCGTTGTAAATAGTGTACATGACCAATATTAGTTTAATTTCTGACAATGAAATCTTCTTCTTTGTATGCATAAAATTTAATTTTGAAACTTCGATTTGCACAGACAGCATCATGCTTTTGAGATGGCAACTCCAACACCGACGGACCGATCGGAGATGCTTCATTGCGCGCAGTAACTTGGAAAATCATTTACAGAGAGCATCTTGCTACAGCCCTTAGAGGCGAGCCCACGCCGCGGCCACAGCCGCCGCGCCAAGCAGCAACGATGGCCCCTGCGTCGCCGCAGCACTCTTGACGCAATCCGTGCAGCCTACTCATGCATCAACAACTTGGTTTCAACGACCGAACGTTGTACCAGGCTTCGTGCACTTGGTGCAGATCGCGCCAACGCACTGGCCTTTGCAGTAGCACGCGCTGTCGACGCACAGACCTACGCGGCGATGACATTGCGATGGATTCAGCTTCCAAATCCGTACCAAGGGTCCCGCAGTTGGGGCGCGTGGCGTCCGTGGCCAGGCACTTGTTGGCCGTCGGCGTCGTCGCGCCGCCCGTGACGGTGCAAAAGTTGCCTACCACTCACGTCATTGCGGGCCATTGTTGACGCATCGTACCGCCAAATCCACTGTTGCACGTGCACGTGTTGGTGTCGAGATTGCACTTGCCGCCTAGACACGAGTTAAAAGACAATAGTCGCCACACACGACGCACCCAAGTTGATCGAGTTGCAAGCGACGTCGCTCGTGCAGCTCATACACTGGTTGCCCGAGTATCCCGAGTTGCATTTGCATTGGCCCTAAGAACGCTCTTGAGTGTGCTGCGCGAGAGAAGCATGCTATCGTGAGTACCTCTTCACAGGTGCCGCCAAGGCCACAGTCGGCGACGCACTTGTTGGATAGCACCTTGTCGCAAAAGCGTCCACCAAAGCCGACGTCGCACAAGCACTGTAATGCGGTATGGGGTGTCTATGCGGTTGGAAGTAGTGTACGTACGCGGTACTTGGCTTCCGGTGCGTCCGAGTCGGTGGGCGTGCACGTGCCATGGTTACTGCAGAGTTGCTAGCGGTTAATGTATCAAAGTCGAAGGAGAGACCTCGAAGGAACGTACGTTCGAACCCGTTGGGCCCGTCGAGCAGCTTAAGCCCGTGTCGCAGACCGCAGGAAACGCACTTTGGTCCTTGCACTGCCCTATCCCGACGGTTTGTTGGTGCATATTTTGCAGACGCGAATCGACAGGTACCTTTCAAGACGCACTGGAACGAGCCCGCAACGGTCTTGTTGCTCGACTTGGGCTTGTAACAGTTGAGGCAGTTGGAAGTCGCTGCCTGCAGCCGCCGGACGATTGCCGGTGTCGTCGTATTCCCGTTGTTCGACGTTGTCGTTGTCGTTGCGGTCGTCGTGGTCGTCGACGTCGATGTCGACGCTACGCCAGACATGAAGACAAGGCGTCGCCTGTTGCTGCAGACATACACAGCATGACACTGCCGTCGGCGGCAGGAACGAGCATCTCGCCCGACGTGGACGTGCAGCAGTTGATGTTGCGAATTTTGTCCGTCTCGACGAAGAGACACATGAGCGACCCGATCTCCGAGTCCTACACACCGCCCTTTGTCGCCGTCGCACTGTGCGAGCTTTTGGTTACCTGCGACGGGCAGTGGCCAAACGTGACGCCACCGCAGAGCGGTTGCTGCGCCGTGCACTTTGAAAAGGCCGAGCGACCTGCGTATTCCGTCAGCACCAGAGTCCGTGAGAGGTTTATGTACCTGTGTCAAAAGTCACACACGCTGCGTCCGCGCTGCAGTCGGCGTTTGAGGTGCAGCGACCTTGCAGCTGTTGCGCCTGGAATGCAGGTGAGCGCTTTTGGGACGCAATTGTCGTTGCGGACCTGGACCGTCGCGGCGAGAAAAGCGGTCAACCAAAGCACCGAGAGCGTGAACATGTCGGAACTTTGCTGTGATTTCGACTTTGATCTTGGACGACGCCCAAGACGGTCCAATTTCGAAGGATACCACATGTTCGAGATGTTCAAAATGGAAAATTAACTATTTCGAGGGCATCGAGCGCCCCAGAAATTTTAGTATCTATATTTTTTATTATCCCGAAGTTGCAAGTTGGGGGTATAGCGCAGTGGTAGCGCGTCCGCTTTGCATGCGGAAGGCCCCGGGTTCGACCCCCGGTTCCTCCATTTTTGCACCGGTTCATTTGCACGGTTGTGAAGGGATGTTGTATGGCCGCTATAACTTAGTAGGAAAAGGCATGCGTTTTGCTGCACACAGCACCTTTCGGCTTCCGTGGACAGGACCGCTTTGTCGTAATATCACCGCCGACGGCGCCATGAGGGATGCCACGGACAGTCGAATCAATACAAGTCAACTGTACTGACATCACCGTTTCTCTTCGTTGGGCGTGGGACTGGACTTGTTTTGGGCTACGTTAAAATCGCGCGCGGGCTTGCCGCCTTCGCGGTGGACAAGGTCGCGGGCCACTGGCGCCGGGCTGCCGACGAAGCGCAGACGATGGACCGAGTGTCGAGGCGGCGTCGTCACCTGTGCCAGCCACACGACCACGAGGACGAGCGAAAGAATCATGGCACGCGGCCACACGTGGCGAGCCGACGTTGGATACATCGTTTAAAATCCAAGCGACCATGGATACCCTTGAAAGATCGCACCTCTTCGAAAGATTGGCCCTTCCTGTGCCAATACATAATTTTGGATACGATTGTCATCGCCAAATATATTCCTTGCGTACGTCCCACAAGCGAGATCTTGAGAGCGCACGTCCGCTTGCACCATCGAATGGCCAACGGCCGAGGCCTTATGGTCCATGCTTACCCTACACTTCTGCAACTGGAGCTTTGACATCAACGCCTTCCCACTCTCTGGATCGCACTTGGGCTCAAAGCTACGCCGTGCGCCAGGGTACGAATACAGTTGCTGGCGTCAAGGGCTCGCTCGACACTAGCCACTGCACGCCAGGATGGTCGCTACTACGCGTATGGTTTGGCAGTAGCTAGCGAGGTGCACACCAACGAGACCGTCCATGACCCGACTCTGCGTGGTGACAGATGAACAAGAGACAGTCAACGATGCGTTTGGCGGTCGAGTCCCACACCATAGGTACTAACGTTAGTACAACGTTCCCAGCAGCAGGTTCGGAAACGCCTGCGGGCGCCACGTCATTTTATCCGGATACTTCGAGTGGCGCGACCATTCTCCAAGCATCCCATCGATCCCAACGCTCGCGAGCAGCAAGACCATTCTCCAAGCATCCCATCGATCCCAACGCTCGCTCAACTGCGCTGCACCCCACGGCTCATACGCGAGGTATCGCAAGGTACCGTGGATGGCGCTAGCCTCCACAAGTGTCACCGACCTGCGCGCTGGTGCGGGATAGAACGACCGATCATTTCTCGTCGATTCTTGAAGCGCGCAGGAACATCACCTACTGGACGCAGCCGTGTACAAACGCCGACGTAGCGTTGTCGACGCCACCGACTCTTCCCGATTCGACAAAGGAGGACGATCGGTATCTTCCATCGAAGCCCAGATGGTGTGAGAGCCAGACCGACGACTATGGGCGAGTGGCGGCCAGTTGCAGATTTGCCATGTTCCACTTTCTCTCGCTCGTGGCGTCTGGCTTGTACGTCATTGGTCTCTCGGACGCTGCGTGCAATGCGTCCAAGTACACGCTCACACCGTTCGCGGGCGCCGGCACGAAAGGCTTTGCCGACGGCCCGCGCCTCGCCGCGCTCTTTGCCGAGCCGCAGGGCCTCGCGTTTGACGGCCATGACCTCTTCGTCGCCGACACGAGCAGCAACCGCATTCGCCGCGTCTCGGCCACGGACGTCTCGACGCTGCCAAGTGTGCTGCGGCAGCCGCGCAGCGTCACGACCGATGCGCGGTACGGCGTCGTCGTCGCCGACTATGGCAACCACATGCTGCGCGCGCTCAACGGCTCGGACGCGGTTGACCTCGCCGGCACGCTCGGCCTCGGACCCGGGTTCGCCGACGGCCCCGCGGCGTCCGCGCAGTTTCACAATCCTTCGGGCGTCGCTGTCGCCCGCGATGGCGCCATCTACGTCGCCGACTCGTCCAACAACCGCATCCGCAAGCTCTCGGCGGACCGGTCGACGGTGACGACGGTCGCTGGCAGCGCGACGTCCGGCGACGACGACGGCAACGCAGCCACGTTCAATGTCCCGACGGACCTCGTGCTGCACCGAAACGCGCTGTACATCACGGACCTCAACAACCACGCGATTCGACTGCTCGACCTGTCGACCAACGAGATCTCGACCTTGGACTTTGATGCAGAGCTTAAGTACCCCCATGGCATTGCGTGCGACAGCTGCGGCAATTTGTACGTAGCCGACACGTACAACAACCGTGTGCTCAAGATCGACCCGGTCTCGGGCGCCGTCGTCGTGCTCGGCGACGTCGAGAGTCCCGTCGGTGTCGCCGTCAGCGCCAAGGACGGCAGCGTCTACGTGTCGAGCCCGTCGCTGCAGCAAATTCTGCGCCTTGCCCCGTCTGCATAATTTAGTCGTTTTGTCTCGTTTCAAAAGTCGTGTTGATATTGTCATCTTGTCCAATCTCATCTTCGCTACCAGCTGCCGCGTCAGCGTCCAGCGCGGCGCACGTAGGAGGGTAGGAGGGTCGACAGTTGTGGGTTGCTTGCAGAGTGGCTCTGTCTGTGCTCGAGTCGTCGGCTTACGGCGTCGACTTGCTCTTGCTCGCGAGCTCGATGCGCTTGAGGAGCATGCGGATCTTGCTCACGTCGGCCGGAAACTCTTCACCGCAGTCACACGCCGCGCGCGTCATCGGGTACGCGTCGCTGCACGTAAAGCAAGTGACGCTCCCATCGACGCGCAACCCGCGCTGGGCGGCGGCGTCGAGGCGTCGCAAGAGCACTTTGAGTTTGAGCGACGGTGGCGGCAGCGGCTCGGTGCACGTTCCGCAGGCGTCGTCCAAAAGGCTGTTAGTCGTGTTGCACAGCTGACACACAAGGTCTGTCGCCACGAGCTTCTCGGTGGTCCAACCCGAGTACGTCTATCGCCGTAGTTTTCGCTGTTGCACTCGAAGAGACGAGGTGCGCGGTACCTTGGTGTTGCCAAATGCCAGTGGCTCGGTTGTACTCGGATCGGCTGGCGTCGGCTCGCTGGCGGGGTGCGTTGACGGGCGGCGAGGGCTCATCGAGAGCTGCGCTACCAGGCCGGATGCCATGTCCTCGGCCTCGATCTCTACACGACGAATCGATGTCGGCGGCGCCTACAGCTCATACGGTGACGTCTCCTGCGTCATCAAGCCCGTCGCACCCGCGCCGCTTGGAGGATCGGAGCTCTCTCAGCTGACGAGCTTGGCGCCGCGTTCTCGTCGTCAGCCGTGTTGGCTCGATCAACTTGCCGGGCTAGGTGCTGCTTGAGTCGGTTGACAACATCTTGGGCTGTCGGACGCCCTTTCGGGTCAAAGGCGAGACAGGCGGTCGCCAGGTCTTGAAGCCACGCGGGGCAGGTCGATGTAAACGTCGGCTTGAGCGCACCGTCACCGAGCTTGCGCATGATCTCCGGAATCGACGTCTCGGCTGCAAAGGGCACAAGACGCGTGTCGAGCTCGGTCAAGAGCGCGCCAAACGCATACATATCGGCCGCTGCGTTGTAGCTGCGCTTCGGGTCGAGGAGCTCGGGGGCCATCCAGCGCAATGTACCAATGCCCATGGTCATATTCGACTCGTACTCGCGCGCGATGCCGAGGTCGGCGAGCTTGATGTAGTTGTGAGTGCAGAGGAGGACGTTCGGGCTCTTGATGTCGCGGTGGAGGAGGCCGTTGTGGTGCATATCGGCGAGGGCATTGGCAACGACCCACGCGACCTCCAATGATGAGACATCCACCTTGGTGGATTGATTGAGGCGCTTGGCGTCGAGGAAGCTGCGGAGATCACCACCGTCCATGTACTCGAGGATGAGCTTGGGACTTGGCATCTTGGTGACAGCGAGGAGCTCCAGCACGTACGGCGAGTGGCAGCTAGGTGACACAAGTCGTCAATATTTTTGAAAAATGTCCAAAAGAGTACAGCTGCATGGTCTCCATCTCTTCAATAAGCGCGGCGACGCCGCTGGCGCCGAGAGCCGTCTTGACGGCGACGGGACGGCCGTTGTACGTACCCTTGTACACGGCACCGTACCCGCCGACACCGAGCGGTGCATCGACGTCCATGGTAAAAGCCTCCGACGATATCTAGTCCCTCGTTGGCTCACTGAACCAAAAAAGACCGGAGCGCCTACCTCGGGCGTCAAGGCGTGGGCGGCGGCGTGAAGGATGTTGGCCAAGCGTCGGTGACCGGCTTGGATCGCGAGAATCATCGGTGTCCGTCCGTCCTATGCGACTGCGTTAGCGTCTCGATAGTCTGCAGATGCGCACCGCGTTGCGCTGGTCGAAGCGGATACCAGGAGCTTGCAACAGCGCTTCCAGAAGCCCTCGGTGGTTTTGACGCACGGCGAGGTGCAAGAGCGATTCGCCAGCCTACAAATGACCATGTGTTTTATGCATCAATGTATCGAGTACCTCGTTGGTCGTGTTGGGATCCAGCCCGTCGGCTACAAGCGAGCGCACCACGTCGGTGGCACCGTCACACACCGCTGCGAGAAGCGCTGCCACCTACCAAAGTAGCTTTAGCGCGACGGACGACTACGAAGCGTACCATATGGGTGCGTCGGCGGGTGTCGGTGCCAAAGATCGCAATAACGTCCGGATACGGGGTCGCGCATGCAACGGGCGTGTGCTGAGTCTACTCCAAAATCTTAGTTGAAGCGTCGCGAGGTATGTGTCGACCGCGTTGGTTGCCTCGACACTAGCACCGGCAGCCAAGAGCACCGAAACGATAGCGCCGAGCCCGCGCCTGGCTGCCACGTGCAACGGCGTGTCGCATGTTTTCTACAGTATCAACTTGATACGAAGGGAATGTGTCTCCGTGTCGCTACCGTCGTCACGGCGTCGACGTTGGCACCCGCAGCGACGAGGCGCTCGACAACGTCAACATGACCGTTGGCCACCGCCAGGTGCAACGCCGTCTCGCCCGTCTATGCCACAATAAGCCACTTGGATGGTAGATACGAACGGAGTCGACCGTGGATTTGCTGCGTAGGTCGACCGTGGCACCCGCCGTCAAAAGGGCGTCGACACCGCCCAGGAACCCGGCACTGGCAGCGGCGTGGAGGACCGATGTGGGCAGCTAAGTCTCCTCCGTGGTAGCGAAATCGGCTGCAACGTCACCTACCTGACCGAAGGCGTCGAGTTGTGTCGTGCGGCAGCCGAGCAATAGCGTTAGCGCTGGAATATGCTGCTGTTCGACAGCGAGTCGCAGCGCCGATACACCCGCCTACGCGCTATAAACTCGCCGGATCCTTTGAGGGAGCGGTGCACCTTGTCTTCCATGTTGGGACTCGCATCCGCACGCAAGAGGTGGTCGACAACACTGAGTTGCATGGTGGCAACCGCAGCGTGCAGCGGTGTCGCACCCGACTACAAGTACGCCACATTACGAAATGACGTCTCGTAAGTGGCAGCTGGTTACCGTGTCGGCTGCGTCGACATTGGCCGTGCTTGCCACGAGACGGACAGCCATCGCAGTCCGGTGCAGGAGGATCGCGACATGCAGCGGCGACCGCCCCAACTACAGAGATTATTCATCTTCTCGCAGATGTCGTTGAAGCGGGTACGGCGTCGCGCGTGTTGACGTCGGCACCATAGTCGAGGAGCTGCTGCAAGCTGACGGACTCGTTCGTCTCAATCGCCGAACGCAGCGCTTTGGCCACGTGCTGGTCTAGTAGTTGCACAATATTGTCGTGGCCGCGGCCGACGGCGACGTCGCGCGGGGTCTTGCCTGCCTACGACACAATATAGTCATACCTTGGTGAAGATTTGCCAACCTTGGTCGTGCAGACCACGGAAGCGTTGGCTCGGAGCAAGGCAGTCACAGTATCCGGGTCGTCGTTGCGCGCGGCCCCGTGCAATGGTGTGTCGCCCGTCTACAGTGTCGAGCTCGTTTTCATTCCTTCTGCATCAACAAGCCAATCGACTGTCTAATACCTCGGTGGCGAGCGTCACGTCCGCGCTGGCCGCCAAGAGAACGTGGACAACGTCGACATGCCGTTTCCCAACTGCCCAGTACAGTGGTGTGCGGTGCGTCTAGCACGTAGCGGATTGTGGTGAGCTAGAATGGACAAAATTTGTCCACCGCATCGATGGCATTGACGGGTGCGCCTGCACGGACGAGCGCGCAGGCTGTGGCAGTCGCGCCGCAGTAGGCAGCATCGTGCAACGGCGTCGACCCGTCCTATTGAAGCCAACATGGGGCTACGCACAGGCTGTGCTTGATCACGGAACCTGTGACGCAGCTTCGGCGCGCGCACCGGCTGAAAGCAGTGCGACGGCGACGGCCTCCAAGTTTTTGGCGGCGGCGAGGTGCAGCGGTGTCTCGCCTCTCTAGAGGCCGAATGGCTCGTCAGCTGGTGAAGTACAGCGCGTTATACCTCGTTGGTGCTCGACGGCGATGCGCCGCTAGCGAGCAGCTGCGTGACGAGATCGTGGTCGTTGGCGACGACGGCCTTGAAAAGACGCTTGGCGTTCGGATCCACGAAGAGCTCAGCGACGCTCGTATGGCCCATCTCCAGTGCAATCGCGCGTGGCGTCCGGCCGTACTAGGTTCCGATGGCTTCCTGTCACCTCTGGTCAAACCACCTACCACGTCGGCAAGGCTCGTCCGCGCCTTGGCCGAGAGGAGCAACGTCACCGCCGAGAGCTTGCCGGCCTTGGCCGCTTCGTACAGCGGTGTCTTGCGGTTCTATGCGCCATCGTCAGCGACCCACATAGGCCAAGGGGTTGTTCGTGCCTCATCGATGGCGTTGACGTCGGCTTTCGCAGCCAGCAGCTCGACGATAATCGGGTCGTGGCCGTGCAGGGCTGCAATATGCAGCGCCGTCTGCTGCTTCTACATACCGTCATGCTGGTGCATGGAGCAAATGCACGTTGATATGTGTACGTGGTTGGTCGTGCTGGGGCTCACGCCGTGGCAGAGAAGCCGCGCGATGGCGGCCGCATCACCCGACTCGGCGGCGGTGAGTAGCGCGGCTGGCGACGCCGACCGATCGAGACCCTAGAAGCAGCGGTATTGGACTCACTGCGAACCTTCCGGAAGCGCATACCATGACCATGGCACGTTGACGATTGACACGTAAGTTCAGCAATCCACCCCAGCGACAGGCGGCAAGTCGCGATGGTGGTCACCATAGTATCGCCTTGACGCAGGTGAGCGTCTGGCCCTTGATCGTCAAATGCTGCTGCCAAAGAGACTGGAGCAGCGAAGTCAAAGTGAGGCGACGCCAATGAAGCAAACCGCGCCAACTGCAGGCGCCAAGTTTCAGTGCACGGTGAAACGGTCCAATTCGCTTAGATAGTACACACCGTGTTCTTGTTCTACTCGGCCTTGGTTCAGTCGGTACAGTACGGCTCCACCAACATCCAACTCTGCATCATTAGGAAGATGAGTTGTCACGGAGTAGATGTACATGTTTTTGACATACTCGAGTTTGAAATTTGATCGCTTCTTGCCATTCGTTGGGACCGTCAGTGAAGCGGCGGGTGGGACACGTGTACTTAAAGAAGGTAATTTTGTGCTGTTTGTAACGAAGCCCAGGCCACTGCGTTGACGTGACCTTTTGAGAGATCGACGGCGCAAAGACTATCTCATCTCGCATTTGTACCTAAAATGCATGGCAATGTAGAACATACAGAGATACTGATAGCAGTTGCTGGAAATATTGAAATCTGGGGCACGAGACGCTTGGCATGCCAGTTTGACTTGGCGCGAGCGACGGTTTTCGCATCACCAAAATCGCGTACTTGTAGTCACCAAAAATACCTCAACGTTGCTCAAAGTCAAAGCGACAATGCGTCCGGTGGCCCGCCGGGTCTTCCTTATTCTTGCGTTCCTCAAGCTGCTAGCGTCGGGCACCTACTGCCTCCTCGTGGCCGCACTCATGAGCTTCGCGTCGCCCTCGGACACCATCAAGTACCAGGTCTACGCGATGAAGACGTATAGTTTCGGTACGTACGCGGCCTGCGGTCTTCTCCACTGGCTCGGCGCGCTGCATATTCTCTGCGGCCGACGACCAACGTCGTGCCGCTTGAATTTTCTGTGCTGCCGCCTCTTTGTATCGGCGTCGGCGCTGCCGTGGGCACTCGCGGCTCAGTTTCTCGAGACGTTGGTTCAGCTCCTGCAGGCGTACCGCCTCAGTCAGCACGCTGTCAATTTGGACATCGCTTTTGTTTACCCAATGCTCGTGGGCCTCTCGACGGCCGTGAGTCCGTGGTTCTTCCTCTTCACCGACCCATTCGTACACCGCGACCTGTGGCTGCTCTTCAATTGCCTCCTCAGCTTTGTCTTGGCCTCGGGGCTCTACCTCGTCGCGTTCGTCCCGCCCTTGCTCTCGCTCAAATTTGGCGACCCGCGACAGATCTTTTCGATGGCCTGGACCACCGAGTACACGCTACTCACCCGCTATATTGTACCAGTGTCGGCGATCGACTTGGCCGAGAAAGCAGCGCTATTTGGCCTCAGCTGGTTCAACGCCCAGCGCCTTGTGACCAACACGCACCGGCGCCATGCAGTGGTGCCCTTACACCGGGGTCCGACCCGCGTGACCATCCGCTCCAAACCGCGCGCGTTCCGGATACTTTTGTGGTGTAATTTGCTACTCGGCTCGACCATCGTTGTCGCCGCTGTGTTCAACGTTGTGCGTGCCCCGGCGTGCCCCGATGGTTGTCTACTAGCGACCCACCCATGGTTTGCAGCGCAGTGCGAATGTGCCTACTATCACCTGCGCTGCCAACCGCCCACCGTGTCGCCTAATTTCACGCATCTTTTGTCGCCAGCGCGGTTGGGCACACAACTATTTTACCTGCATGTGACCGAGTGTCCGCTCGTTTTTGGTTTTGATGTATCGCATTTGGTGCCGTTTGAGCAGCTGTTTGGACTCACGATCGAATTTTCCGACATGACAACGTGGGAGCTCGACAGCGAGTGGCCAGACTCGGTGTTAGCGATCGAAGTACGCTACAGCAACCTCTCGCACATACCACCTGCGTTATTAAAGCTGCCACCGGACTGCACCGTGCTCACGTTGGCTTTTGGCAACAACATGTCGGTATTGCCAACGACGCTTGTACCGTCGTGGCAGACCCTCTCCCGCCTCGTTCTCAACGGAAATCAACTGACAGCGTTGCCAAGTTGGTTTAATCAGTTGCAAGAGCTTGAGCGGATTGTCGTATCGAGTAATCGATTCATCGAGCTCCCGGAAGCTGCCCTCGCGACGCTTCCCGTGCTAACACACTTTGAGGCAGCTCAGAATGCGCTTGTGGCGTTTCCAAAAACACTTCTCGCGGCCCACCAAGTCGCATTCGTCGATGTCAGCAACAACCCGATCGCAGAGACGCCAACCAGCGACGTGTTGGGTGCGATCGCGGCGCGCCGGGTTTTAGCGGATGGAACGCCGGTGTGCACCGGGGCGCGACCTCTTGAAGGATGCCAGGAAGTGTGCGCCGACTCGTGCTCCAACTTTGAGCGTGGCGACCGCATTTGCCAAGCCAACTGCCTCCATGAAGCATGCGACTGGGATGCAACGGACTGCGCCAACGGCGGCTCCCAATAACGAACGCAAAGTGGACTCGTTCTTGTGTCAAAAGCGCCGGCCACGATTGTATGCATGTACACGGATATATTATATTCATGACATGCATTCCTGGGGAAAATAAGATGTTTCCGGATACAAGCATACAATAACCGAGACACTTTTCAAAGCCACCTTGCGAATGTCAATGGCGCCATAGCCATAGCGCCCCCATTTTAGCGACATTGGAGCTCTATAGGCCATCAAATCAAAGGAAACGGAATATATTATCGGGGCATCGTGGTTTGGTATCGCCAGCATTCGCTTTTGCGGTCAAAATTTGTCACAATGATTCGATTTCCTCCATAGTGGTACCACCCACCCCGAGATCCCACATCGTGGGCCGACCAATTGGCTGTCGCGAAGCTAAGGCGAAGCTCAAACGAAGATATGATTTAGCCCCCTGCTTGTGCACCCCGAGAACGTCCCGTTCCGACTGCGTTCCGACTGTCTGCAGTGGCCCCGCGATGTGATTCGCCCATAAAGAAAGGTGCGAACAGGCAACAAACACGAAATTAGTATGGATTGGCTGAAAAAACGCGCTGCAGACTTGCGTAGACATGCCGATCGGGTTGTGACCAGATGGTGGATCGATGCTCGGTGCAATCAGTG